GGAAAAAGATGCAAAACAGCTCCAAGTGTGCAAAGGCTTTCTGCATTACTGAGAATTTACAAGAAAAATCAAAAAAGGAATAAAAATTGGGCAAGAATCAGGGAAGAGGTTTGAGGAGAAATCTCAAACAAACGATGACTGCAAAAAAACCTGGAAGCCTGAGTGCTGTTAAAAATATCCTGTTGTGATAGGGCAGGCATACACAACACATGCTTTTCACACGTGCTGCTGGCTCTCAGCATGGTGGCTTCCTTCCAACCCAGCACAGGGATGTAGCTGGAGACAGAACAGATGAGAGAGGAATGAAGAATACATTGGGCAGGTGTTGCAATGCACTAAAAAAGGATATATCTCTCATAAATGGTACGTGCCCTGTCCACCTCCTTGTATCTCAGTTCGAAGTTAATGTAGGAATGCCATGCTTGCTCCTCTGGCTGCCACTCCATCCAACGCTCAAACACCTGACGTGATCCAGCAACATTCCCCAACATCTCTTCCATGTACGTATACTTGTACCTTCAAAAACAAGATCGAGTTTTTACAATTACATAAAAAACGCATCAATTACAAGGATTTTTTCAGTGCTTAATAGGAGCATTACTGAGATTTCTCCATCTGCTCCCCACTTGAACCCCAGAAATACCTACAGAGACTCTTGTGATTGGCAGCATGCAGGCACACAAACATCTTTCCCTCTCAATACTCCTACCACTTGAATAGTACAAAACCTTTCCAAAACTGAAACCCCGTTATTTTTTTCCACACTAGTATGAAGACCCGGGAGAAACAGGAAACAATGTGCTTTTGTACGATACCAAACAGAAAAATGATCTGTGGTCTTCGGGGGTAGAAGCAATGCTCCATCCTCTGCAAACGTACCAGAACTGGTTCACCCTGGGGAGGGTGGTAATGGCTCGATCCCAAATGTTTCGGGCATGATTAACCTGGCGGTTCTTCATTTCCATTTCTGCATATTTCAGCCAGAGTGTAACATTTCTGTAGTCCACGTCTAAAGCACGCTCGTATATGGAACGGGCTCTGGAAAGCAAAAAGAAGCAAGTTGCATATAATGTGCCTCCAAGGCTTTGATGGTGTTTGTCAACATCTGTCTTAAAAGCTTTGTAAGGGCAGCTACACCATAATTACCTCTGTATTTCTTTCAGGCTTTCCTCCCATTGTGCGTACTTTATCCAGTTACTGATAACAGTCCTGTTTTTTCTTATATTATCTTCAAAAGTCTGAGGAGAAAATCATTTCTGTAAGTAAGGAATCCCTCTGTGCACACATATCTTGTTATAAATGACTTATGATGATTATTATTAAAATTAATTCCCAATGTCTTGCACCCATGCAGATGTAGTAACAAATCACACTCAATACACCACTTTCTAAGAACTGCAGAACAGAGAAGCAAGAAGCATCTATCATCACATACAACAGGACTCAAACGCCTGAAATAACAACTGACAGCACTAAAATCTTACTCTTTTTTGTTGTTATCATCTCCTGCTTAACGTTTCAACAGCAACAGTACTTGGACAGACGGAATCCAGTCATTGCAGACAACCCTGAATGTACCTGGATGCACCAGCACAAGTAGATTCACTTTGACTTGTAGGTATCATTAATGATGGTGAAACTGCATATCAAGTGTGTATGTGATTACTCGTGCAATGTTCTGAACGTGGTCACAAGTCAGATCTTGAGTACTGCCAAATTTTGCTAAACAACACATTTAACTCACAACTTTTTCAAAAAGGTAGCCTTTTCTATGAAAACCCTAGGGTTTTTTTCCCAAGAATTGCTATTCATTTGGCATACAGACATGTAATTCAGACTACATCTTGTTTAAGTTAAAACAATTGAGTGCTTTATATGAGCATGAAAATTAGGGGTGGTTGTTTCTCCTTTACCTTCCTCTTCCGGAGTTTATAGTCGTTTAGCTCTTCAACATCTGTTATCTTCTGTTGTGGGGGCGGGGGAAGAAGCTCAAGCTCTCTTTCTTTCGCTTCTCTCAGAAGCTGTTCCGCAGTTATCTGGACTTCTGCGGGCGCTTTATTCTTCACCTGTAACGTACGGGGTCTTGAGTCGTGTTTCCCCCTCCTAACGCAACACCGAGAACAGCCCCCGGGGCCAGCGCGCTCCGGTGCCTCGCCGCGCCCGGTGCTCGGCAAACCAGGCCCGCC